GTTCACTTACAATTAAAAAAAATATTAAAGATAATAATTAAAATTATTTATAATATAAAATGTTTTGATGGTGTTAATAATGTAGAATTAATAAATTATTTAATTTAAAATTTATTAAAAAATAATCTTTTAAATTACCAAATGAAAAAAGGCTGAGTTAAGTTCAATAAATAATAACTTTTGAACATAAATATATGCAATGTGTAGTAAATTAAAAAAAAATAAAATAATGATAGATTTTCTTCTAATTAATTGATATTTTTTGTTAAATATTCTAAAATATATTAGCAAGTACAGAAAATGAATTTTTTAGTCCAATTAATTTAATTTCAAAGAATCATATAAACGTTTAAACCAAATGAAATTAAAATATAATGAATTATTAAGAATTAACTAACATTCGACATATTGCTAGAAAGTGTTGACAAGTTGTGAATAAGTAATAAAAGTTATAAAAAAAGAATTAGCTAATTATATATAACAAATTGTAATTAATTACATAATTGCTATTAGATATTCAAGAATCCGTTTAGAAAATAGAGTATGCGAGTAAATGCGACCTGCGCTCGGTGATGTAATGAAAAGTGGAGTCATTCCAATTATTATTAGCATCAGTGCAAGTGAAATTGCGTTAGTTAAAATGAAAATTACTGCCCTTCTCATCCCTCTGTGCGCTTACTGGGCAGAAGAGAACCTGGTGTAATTGCATTCCACGGCCCTTTTAAAGGGAGTTAATTGGCGAGCAATTAGCTTTCCGAAAGTGTAGAGATGCAAATGAAATAGGCGATTTTTGCTACTATGTACATGTACACTTTAATTTCTCTTCCATATTTTTTTTGTTATTGCATGTATCGATTTCCACTCCGCGTGCAGAGAGAAATTGTTCGATGCGAATTAAAATTGAAAGGACTCTAAAGGACTCAAAGTACATCTCATTCACTATATTGTGCTGCATTTCAACAAAGCAACAGGAGAATCGGAAGAGCTGAGTTTCATGAATGCACCAATCATATTTGAAGTCTCAATGCATTTCCTCATTGATGTTTGAATAAATTGGATTCTATTTTAAATACAGAAGTGAACATTTACAACAATTTTTATTTTTCTACTATATTTTAATAAATTAGACTTTCCTGGATTATACAATCTAAAATTTAGACTTATAATTATTAATAATTTTTAGATTTTGAAATTTAAATTAAAATTCGATAGAACTTTGACATTCAAAAAATATAAGTAAAACGTGTAAATTAACGTTTTTTTTAAATTATTTTACAAAGCAATCTATCTTTGTGTAAGCTCAATTAACGTGTAACTTTTTTTTTAAACTCAACTTTTGATCTTAAGTTATGTATAAAGTTTAAGTATGTGCTATTCATTTCTACATTTACATGTTTAGCATTAATTTCAACATGCAGTTAAAAATTGTTCATGAAATAATCGGCGCACACACAGAGTAAATTTTATAAAATTTTTAGCTTTGTAGTTTACATAATGTAATGAAACCATTGTAGCGGCACTTTTTATAATTAATAAAGTTTAACTATGTAATTAATTTGGTAAAAGTTCTAAATTTCAACTATGAAATTTTATATTATTAACATATAGAATAGTCATTTCAGGAACATATGATAACTATGCACTTAATTCGGTAAAAGTTATAAATTTCAGTAATTTCAGGATCATAAAATGCTTCAAGAGAAGTAATAGTGTGTTTAATAAAACTACTATTTTTATAGTTTAATATTAAAGTTTTTTCTATTATTTCTGTAATGATGTCATTCTTCTTTCAACAATTATATAAACTTTAAAATAAGAGAAAATTTTAGTTTTTAGAAATTTCGTTACATTTTCATAATAAAAAAACATTGAATACAATAGAAATATTACAATAATAAAATTATATTACTAAATATGTGAAAATCATGTTTGAAAATCAATGAAAAATTGTTAATAGATATTATAAGGAAGAAACCGTTAAAAATCAATTGAGGAAGAGAGCACTGAATGGAATAGGTAGCAGAAATGGTATCGGGTAAATAAATAAGAGAAACGGTTGCAATCAATATCAGTATCATACGTTTTCCGAACACTTATTCCCTTTTTATCTGCTGCTCTCGCCGCGATTACTCCGAGCTTTTTCCCTCGGATCTTGAGGGGTAGGTAAATAAAATAACGGGAAACACATAAAATCCTCACAATTTACATAGGGAAAGTAAACTCGGAACGTTTTAGGGTCGGAGTCAAGTTGAGTTTGAGATGTACAGTATAAAATGCAGGGGACATAATCGAAGTGGGATTAAAACGTTTGATTGCCTAGGCCCGAGGCTCTTCTCTTTATTTCCTATGCACTCACTCACGAAGACGCACATGTTTGGAAGAGCAATACCTTTTTTATGGACCCTGCAGAAGTTTCGTATCGATCTCAGGATTAATACTAAATACACACGCCTTCCTCTCATCAAATAGAGAGAAATATATGGAGGAAGGCTGGTGTATCCTTGAGAAGTTCCAGAAAAAAGTATAAACCTTCGAGAGAGTTAGACTTTTAAAGGATCTCATCTGTGTAGTATTTCAAACAAAAGCATAAAATTAATTAGATTCTTTCTTACCGACAATAGTGTAGATTAATAAACAATGCTGATTACTAATATTATCTTTAATTAAACCAAAATTAAGATTTGTTTCGTATTCTATTTAATCATAGCTAAAAATAACTTAAAGCAACATAAATACAAAAACAGACAAATATGAATAATAAAGAAAAGGATGTCAATTTTATTAAACAAATTTTACTTCAGTATATTTCAATTATTTATACGCACTAATTTTCTTGAAATATTTTATAAATTATAATAATAATAGCAATATATTCTTATATAAGATTAATAAATCAATACAAATTATGTCAAATCAAACCAAGTATTTTTTTGTCAAATAGATTTGAGGCTAGAAATGGGTACGTTAAGCCTATAAGATTAAGTGATTGTTCCACGCAATTAATTGACTAAATCGGATTTATTTGAAATTAGTATTGCTCAGACGTCTATATTATCACATTTACAGCTGTCAATATAATCCAGTCAAAAATCAAGAATGAATTTGTCAAACATTAATACCTATTTTTAATAGATGAATTTTGTAGAAGTTTATATTTGTTATTAACTCAAAATTATTTTCAGAATAACATTTGTATTAATTTTTGGTAAAAAAAAGACACTTTTTGGAAAAAAAAATTGTAAAAATAAGTTGAATTTTGTAGAAGTAAATATTTTTATTTACTATAAAAAGTTTACGTATTATTAATTATAATATTAATTATATATAACATTAATTAATTTGATCTCTCATTAATTAATCTAACTATATACACAAAATTAAGTTGGGAAATTTTAGTCTAATTTTACAATTTAAAAAGGGTAATCAAAATAAAGTAGTAGTGATTACAAAAACTTGCAGTTTTCTCAATTAGATTTAGTTTGGATAAACTTAATTGTGTTCAAATAAAAAAAAATCTTAAAGAAAATATCCAATTTCATTTTCGCTGCGAAAAAATTCTCTATTTTGGTCCACAATGGACCAATTTCATTTTTTATATGCATAAAACTAGAAATTAAAAATTTCTTTAAAATTATTATAAACACAAAATTTAGTTGGTAAATTCAGTAAAATTTTACACTTAAAAAAGGGCACTTGCAAAAAATATAAATATAAAACCATTAATTTCAAAATGCGCTAAAAATGAGGAAGTGATTACAAAAAAATGCCGTTTCCTCAATTAGCCAGTAAAAATTACTTTGGAACAGGTTTAGTTCGAGAATACTTAACGACGTTCAAATACGAAAAAATCTTAACCAGTTCCATTTTCTTTCAGATGAAATCGTACTTTCAAAAATATCTTTAAAATTATTATTAACACGAAATTAAGTTGGGAATTTTAGTGTAATTATTTATTATAAAACCAACTAATTTCAAAAAGTGCTGAAAGTAAAGATGTGATAACAAAAAACAGCAGTTTTGTCAATTAGCAAATGAAAATTGCTTTGAAACAGATTTAGTTTGGGAAGACTAAATGACATTCAAATACGAAAATCAAAAAGTAAATATCCAATTTTATTTTCGTTGTGAAACAAATCTATTGTGGCCGACATTAAAAAATTCCATTTTATTACAGATAAAAAAGCTAAACACCTTTTAAATTATTGTTTTAAACTTAAGGGTACTTGCAAGGACTACAAATATAAAATCTACCAATTTTAAGAAGTAATAAAAATGAAGTAGTAGTGATTAGATAATTGCAGTTTTCTCAATTGAAAATTGAAAATTGGATTAAAACAGATTTAGTTTAGTAAACTTAACATATTTCAAATACGATAAAAAGAAATATCCAATTTCATTTTCGTAATGAAAAAAATCTCTATTATAACCGACAATAGACCAATTCCATTTTCTTGCAGATGAAAAACTAACATTAAAAAAAAATCTTTCAAAAAAGGAAACCTCAACACCCGGAATTTCAACGAGAGTATGAGACTTCCTCCTCTTCAACCCTCTTTCCCATTTTCCACGGTGTTCCCCATGCGGCGTAAGTGGATCGATAGCGGCTGTGTCCATTACATTATCACGCTCAGCACCGGATCTGTTTCCGGTTTAATGCATCCCCCCCGGTTATCGAAACTGCCTCGGATTGCTGAAACATCCAACGCACCGCACAAAACGATCGCAGCTTCCGGAATGGACGATCGCATCCAGTTGATTGAAAATTTATGGTAGACAAACCGCAATTACCAACGAAATCGGATCACATTTCGACACAACAAAACTTACTTAAGCAATCAAATAAAAGTTTAAAATACAGGGTGTAAAAGTAATTACGCTAAGCTATATTAAAAAAATACTATTTATAATATAAAAATAAAAACAATAAAACTATTCTCACTACTGTTTTATCTTACAGTTAAAAAATTGTTACTTTTTTTTCGATTTTTATTTAAAGTTACCTTATGATCTGCTCGCAGTTATTTACAACACTCGACATGAATAAATACATGTTTGTTTGAAATGTTACTCTTTCGTCTGTATTTTTATAAGTTTTTGTATACTCAGCCGTTGATAGGTATTTGCTATACAGGAGTCAGCGTTATTATTTGTTTGTTGGGTGGGAAATGGCGGTGGATGCGCCGGGTTTCGAGAGCGAGAGATGACCGGAAATTAAAATTGAATCGAAATCAATGCCCGATCAGGATTTAACAAAAAAAATAAATAGTAGTAACGTACAGAAATTTCACGACTCGCGCGATATTTAACCGGTTTCGTTTTAATTGAACAACCAAAAAAAAGGTTGTTGTTTAAACGTTAAATCGACATAGACACCGAAATTCTAATTAAAACCTGTTCGACTCTTGCTTTTCTTTTACCGTTAAAATCTATATTTGCTGAGCTTTTCGAAATTTACATATAAAAAAATACACGACGTGCTGTACTGTCGTTGTTACGCAACTAAACGGATGTTGGTTGGTATTTGGTTTTCGATTGCGATGAACTTAGAGTTTTTTTTTTTGTAAGGGCGGAAAAGGGCTGCGTGTGTGCAGCCACTCGCCGTTCCCGGGTTGAACTGAGGTATCGTCGCCACAGCCGCCGCCACCTCTTCCTCCTCCACCTCTACCTCTTCCCATCGGGAGTCCCGGCGCGCTCCAGCAGGTGGTTGTCACAATCACCGACTTACGTAACGGCCTCCCCTGCTCTGGATAAATGAGGAAGGTAAGTACCTTCCTGTCTTCCTACGAGCACAAAAGGGGGGAAGAACAACCAGCACACGCACACACAAAAAGCGGATGCGAAAAACCGGGACGAGAGACGTAACAGAGATATTACATAAATGGATCTCCGTCCGGGTTATAAATATAAGCTTTTTCTTCTGTATTAATTATCCCATTTTTCCTCTCAGTAATTAGTTTTTATTTAATTAAAAGTTGTGCAACGTAGTATTTACTTGAATTATACTTTAAAAATTTCATAATATAATGATAGGTTGCAAAACAAAGTAGTAAATACTTTTGTTATCATTACACCACATAATATCAATCTAAAACATAAAATAATAGTAAACAGTTTCTTATGTAAAATAAAAAAAATATGATGTATTGAAATTAAATAATTATAAAATAAACATACTTTTATATTAATTAATTACATTTTACAATTATCATAACAATATTTAATACCGTAAAACTGTAGCAATTTACTTAACCTTCCGTTACTCGCGCGGAGTCTGTGAGACACCAGTGGATAAAACCAACTATAACTTTTAAAAGTGGAAACGTTGGGTAACCCCAACCCATGTACCTTCTTTATACTGACACGACATTTTAGGATAATACCTTGAAAGATTAACAGCAAAATATTCTTAGCAGTCTATCAGATGCCACGCGAGTAGTTCTTTTATAAAATTTTACTATACCATTTAAGGGTAAGTTTTAGAGTTTAATGTATCTAAAGTTTCTAAAGTTTCTGATCCAAAAAATGAACCCTATGCAGAGATTTTACGAAAATTAGCAAAGGAATCACACAAAGACAAACAATCAGAAACAAACGATAGTAGTGATGATGAAGATATTTTTTCTTAGTTTTATTTTTATAAAATATATATGCTTAGAAGATAATATCTTTTACATTATAAAGGGTGTTCCAAAATTAAAGCAAGATTTGAATTTGCCGCGATTTGTGCAGCAACCCCAAAAATAACCACAATCTAAAAACTAAAAACTGTGTTTTCTATTTAATTAAAATCTTGCGTTAATTGTGGGACATCCTTTATATAAATTAATTACTAACATTATCTTTTAACGGAAACGTCACGCGAGTAACGAGTAATTGAAAAAAACAGTAAATAAACTATATTTTTATCTCAATTCAATTAATAAAAGTGATTCAATCAATATTAAAATATTTTCAATAGATACATTTTCAATACTTATTATCACTAAAAAGTTATTCACAATTTTTGCTTTGAAATGAATAGTTTACTAGTAAAGCATTGAATTTTATTTATATTTCACATTTGAAGTATACAACTAACACGCGACAATAATCCAACCACTGTGGATAGATTCAATGCAACACTTCGAACAATGATGTTTCGCACACAGAAACCGTTGATTGGATTTTTCGTTTATATCGTATTCAATACATACGATAAAAGTTATTCAACACGCAAAAAAAACAATGCCTTTTTATGTAAACTTCAGTTATATAAAATCAAAGCGTGGAACGCAAATACAGACTGAAAACAAATATAAAACATATGAATATTTCGTGCGGTTCATACAGATATATTAAAAGATTAAATTCCATACAATTTCAGCCACATTTTAATCAGCGAAGATTAAAAACATTTTTGTTTGAATACCGACGAGACATGAAAAAGATGCGCAATTTCATAATTATTTTTTTAAATATTAACATAGAACAATACAACAATTCAAATTGCCTAAAATATTTGTTAATATATTTTTATAAATGTTTGTATAATAAAAGTTGAAAATGTAAATCTTCTGTAAAATAATAGATTAGATTATAACAAATCTTATACTGTAGATCAGTATTCTCCAACCTTTTTATCGCCGCGTACTGGTCAACGTTTTATAATTTTACCGCGGCTGAGAGAGATTTTACTGTCTGAGAGGGTGACGTAATTTAACATTTTAACTCACTAGAACGCTAAATCAACGAGACGGTTCCATCTGGAGGTTGTGGACCACCGCTGTAGATTAATGGATTTAATGCATGATATTTTATTTTAATGTATTTCTTGACATCCATTATTGTAAAAATATGTAAAAAAAAATCCTATTTTTTTTATTATATAAATATTTTTTATTTATTTATACGAGAATTAAATAATAATTATAATTACTACTTATACAAACTATTTAAATATGAAATATAATGATATATTGACATTTATACCATATATAAACTGACGCATTTAATATGAAATTATATAAACAGACTGTGTGTAAATCATTATTTGCAAATGTATTTATATACATTATAACGCTCAAATCAAACAAACAACATTTAATATTAATGTACATATTTGTAATTAAAATATATTTAGTTTAACTATAAAAAGTGCAACAACAGTATTTGAATAATTCATAGCATTGAGCACAAAATAATTTTATATGTGTTAAATTTATATATTTAAATAGGATACAATCAATTATTTAAATAATTCATGAATTTATTGAAACATCCCAAATTAAAAAAAATATATATTGGATAGATTTTGTCAAATTTTCGTCCTGGTAAACTAAAATTTATCTGTAGGGTTTAAGTCAGGTTGAAATTATTTAGGTTAGGTTAAATAATATTTAAATGCAACGATGATGTGTTTTTCATTTTACGAATTTTCACTTTACGAATTATTGATATAAATTATATATTTATTTAATAAATATTTAATAATTTATATTTATTTAATAAATACATAAATTAATTTCGATCCGGTGTACGGTTATGTTCTAAGTAAATGTTTATCGTTCCAAATTCGGATTCGGTTCTACTAAAAATTTCGGTTCAGTTTCGTTTCGGTTTAAAATCGAGTCAAATATCAAATTGATTTAATTTTATTGACCAAATTCCCTTCTTACTTCTGTTTTCAATTATAATATTTAAAATGCATAAGAATAAACCTCATTTAGTGACTAGTTCAAAATATGCACTTTGTAATGTTTCTTCGGTCATATTTAGAGTAATATCCTTTTTAATCATTTTAATTTGAGTTTGTTCTAATGTTAGTTGCGCAAGACTTGTTCTTGCTCTTTCTTCTTCAAATTTTCTCTTTTAAATCGGTGGTTGTTTAAGAGATTTTTATTTTTGAAGTTCTTCATATTCGGCGTTACGAAAACGCTCAAATGTCGTTCGATTTTTGCGGCGTGGTTACCGTTTATTAATAAATTAATCCTTATTATTAAGGGGTGTAAATTGTGATTGGGAGTAGGACCATTTTATATGTATTTTTTTATTTGTCTCTTATACATTGTTTATTTATGTACTATACTATATTAACCATAGACCGACCAACACAATGTCGAAAAATTATTTTTTTTATATAAATAAACCAAAACACTAGCACCTGCACACTTCCATCAAAGAGCATACATGAAAGAAAGCGATTATGAATTAATGTAATGAAAAAAAAAATTGCACCGAAATTAACCGTAATTAAAATTTCGTTCCGGTTCTTTTTCGGTTTTTCAATTGAGCAATTTTACGTTCGGTTACAGTTACGGGTCTGTTAAAAATTCCGGTTAAATTCGGTTTACGGTTTTCGGTTTCGTTTCGACTCTCTTGATGTTACTGCGCCTCCCTTAAAAATATTTAATCATTTGATGCCTCCCCCCTCTCAATTTCATAAAATAGATAAAGCTTTAGCTCACTGTGACTAATACTCGCGCCTACCCTTAGACTAGTCCGCGTCTCACAGTTTGGAAAACTCTGGAATAAGTTAATTTCTCCGTAAATACGACTATAACATGTGATAAACATTAAATTAAAATAATTTCAATTAACAAATTCTCACTTTACGGAATATGAGATAATAATTGTTATAAAATTTAAATTATCATCAACATTTTTAATGGAAGATACACCAAATCATAGTAAATCAATAAATTTTGTTGTCAATAAATTAATCTGTTCACAGTTTAAACAGCTGAAATTGTTAATTTGGCTGAAGGCCAAGGTTCGAACATAATAAATGATGATTGAATAAAATACAGCATCTGACTGAAGCAAACACCAGATTTTGGTTTATGTACATCAGATATATATATACACAATTTCGAATGGAATCCGAGTATCAATAATACCTGCAAGGGCGAATGATGTACATCCAGTATTTATAGAATTTTTATGGAGGATGGTAAACGCGAAATGTTGATGCAGCATTAAATTTTTTATTCCACCCCGATAAAGAAGAGGTGAAGTGAATATTTTTACAGCGCATTTTCGGGATGGGCATTATCCGAACAATGCATACTTTATTGAATGGAAATCTCGTATATGAAATAGGTGCGTATCCTTTTTGTTTTTTTTTTATTCAAATTTTATTGATTTTCCGGACTCTCCGGTTTCTGTGTTCTGTGATTTTTTTATTTTATTTTAATATTACCTATAAATCAACATAATTGAAACGTAAAGCGTTTTTATTTTGAACAGATGTTACCGAGACGAAATTCATGTAGTCAACAATAAATGAAAGGTATGTATGGGAATTCCTTAAGCAAGTCTCTATGTGAAATAACAGATTGCAGGTGCTTCAGGGGTTTCAGTATTGATCTATAAACAGATGTTACATCATTCGCATTCAGATCGCAGAGATAAAATAAA